GAAGGCGTTCCGCCAAGTATCGAGGTCCTAAACCGTTTAGGGCTTTGAACGTGAGCATCAGTACTTTGAAGTCGATGCAGAATCGGATGGGCAGCCAATGCAATGTGGCCAGAGTGGGCGAGATATGTTGGTATCTTCTCACTCCACTGAGTAATCTGGCCGCCGCATTCTGCACCACCTGTAGTTTCCGCAGCAGCCTCAAAGGTAGCCCCACGTAGAGCGCGTTACAGTGGTCTAATCTTGAGATTACAAGCGCATGCACCAAGGTACTGAGCGCCCCAACATCAAGGTAGGATCGCAGCTGGGCTATCCGCCTAAGGTGAAAAAAGGCGGTACGGACCACAGACGCCACCTGAGATTCCATAGTGAGCGCCGGGTCCAGATGGATCCCCAGGCTGCGGACCCCATCCCTGGCGGGCAGGGTCACTCCCCCAAAAGAGAGGGAATTTCCCAAATCCCCAATATTTATCTATATTGCACTCTGCACCACAATGTATTCCAATAAAACCAATGTTGTACAAATGAGCAGCAATACATATGAACCTTACAGCAAACGTAAAGCTCCTCAAAATAAGCAATGATCAAAAAGAATTAATCAACTGCTTAAAAACACCAAAAAAAGTTGAAAGAAAATACAACGGTTACAGTTAGTGTGTGTGGACATTCCGTGACATCATAGCAAAGTCAAAAGTCAAAGGAAAAGTCTGTTGATTAAGTCAGCTTGTAAATATAATGGACACTAAAGAATCAATTCAAAAAAGAGGCAGGAGGATCAGGGCTTAGGTTATGCCAAGGAATACAGTAAGACACACACCCCATATCCATAGAGGATCCATTCCAAGTCCCCCCAAAAACCACGACAGTATTTTAATAGTGAATTCTATACATACAGTGGTACCTCGACTTACAAATGTCTCCATTTCGAGTTACGAACCGCTACGTTCACAAAATGTTGCTTCGATTTGCGAACGGAGCTTCGACTTACGAACAACAAAAAAAACCCTCTCCTGACCTTTTTTTGACCTAAGTTCATCTTAGGTCAAAAGAAGAAAAAAATAAAAAAATTCTCCCCCTAGTGGTAGAATATGTATTAACCGGCTTTGCCAGGAACTAATGCTTCTACTTGCGAACAGCGCCTCGACATAAGAACGAAAAACAGCCAGAACGGATTAAATGGTTTTCAATGCAACCCTATGGGAAATTTTGCCTCGACTTACAACAGTTTTGACTTACGAATGTCATTCCAATACGGATTAAGTTCGTAAGTCGAGGTACCACTGTATCATGGTCTCTGGCTCTGTCTAGTGGTCACTTCTGGTAACAACATTGTGGAAATCTTTTTCTATAGTTAATACTACATAACACTGGAAGGACAGATCCTGAAGCTGAGGCTCCAATACTTTGGCCATCTGATAAGAGAAGCCTCCCTAGAAAAGCCCCTGATATTGGGAAAGTGTGAAGGCAGGAGGAGAAGGGGACGACAGAGCATGATGGGTGGACAGTGTCATCGAAGCTACCAACATGAATTTGACCCAACTCTGGGAGGCCGTGGAAGACAGGAGGGCCTGGAGTGCTCTGGTCCATGGGGTCACAAAGAGTTGGACATGACTAAACGACTAAACAACAACAAACACATAACACAGTCTCTGGCTTTCTCTAGTGGACAGTTCTGGTAACTTCATCATTAAAATATATATACTGTATATATAGAGAGTCACTTTTAATATTTTTGAATATTTTCAGACCCTGGATAAGTGAATCAGTGAACACTGGTCCCATGGATAAGGGGGTCCTGCTGTATAAGGATGTTTAAGAGAACTTCTCAAGTCAGAATCCCACCTTCTTGGCCTTTGGCTGATGACGCTTCTTCCCCAGACTCTTCCGGGTGTTATATTTGGCCAGCTGGTACGCATCAAACTGCCGGAACTTATCGGCCATCGCACCACGGAGGCAGGAAGGCATCGAGGCTAAAGTTTTTCCTCCTCCTGCTAAACTCTACAAATAAAAACAGAATGGGAAAATGGCTGTTATCCGACAAGCAGGGGACGGCCTAGAAAAGCATCTATGCATCTCGGATTATATCTGGAACTCACCGCTCATGGATTTTGGAGAACGCCAGGACATGACCCCAGCAAGGAAAGTCTGTTGGTTCCTACCTGGTAAATCCGGGCTACTTCCATCCAGTCGGAGGGGAGCTGCACGGCGTGGCAGAAATAGCGCCTCAGGTGGGGACGACAGGGCAGAAGACGAGAAGACAGTGCCAGTAGAAAATTGGCCGTGCTGCGGATATTAAGTTCTTGGCGTGTATAGAGAGCCACCTGCACAAAACAAGGCCCGCCCAGAAAATGAGACAAGATGGTGACGTTCTTGGGAACATAAGGGCCTCAAGATTCAAAGATGAAGAATCTAACTTAGATGCTTTCTGAAGGCACTTCCACACACACACACACACACCAGCTGTCTTCATTCACACCTTCCATCCGCCCGGTATCTTAGGCTCTGTATGGGGCACCCAAAGAGAAAAATAACAGTTCCTGTGGTAAATCATACATATGGTAGAAGGAGCAGTGGGATCTGAGCAAAGCAAAAGAGGTGACCGTAGAAGCAGAAGATCAGGAATATAGTATACCAAAAAAAAACGTAGCTCTGAAAAGACACACAGGACCCCATATCCATGGGGACTGGTTCAAAGCCCCTCTCCTGTGGGATGCTGAAAAACATTGCACTCTATTTTAATAGTGACTTTTATACATAGAGTGGTCTCTGGTTCCCTCAGGTGGCCGGTTCTGGTAACCTCATTATCAAAACAATGTACATTTTTGGGATTTTCCTCTTAATATTGTCAGACCCCGGATAAGTGAATCAGTGGATACCGATCCCATGGATGAGGGAGTCCTATGGAATGCCCTTGCTGTTATCCATAACGCTTCACACTGTTCCTCAGGCCTTAAGAGACTTGAAGCCCCCCATCCACCACTCTGGAGGACGAGGCCTTCATACCTTGAGGACGAATTCCGGTTCGTGCTCCGCCAGATTTGTGCACACTCGGGTCAGCTCCCGCTGCAACTCTCCGGGAGGGTCCCCGAACTTTGCCCCTTCCACCAGCGAACAACAGGCTAGGCTCAACAGCATCAGCTAAAATTAAGGGGCAGAAATAGGGCAAAAGAAGAATTATTTCAAGGGAGCTTCTTGCTCAACTACACCATTTCAAGATTCTAGTCCACTAGATATCACATTACCACCACCACCGAAACAGATTTTTCCTGTTTTCGTTTATTTATTTAAAAACTGTAAAAGATACAAGGGGAAAAAAATCTAAAAAGAACATCACAAATATAAACAATATTTAAAAGGCCCTCTCCCTCGCCAGGACATTCTGGAGATATAGCCAATGTCCCTTCATTCCTTCACCAGAACAGATAGATTAACCATTTTTAAATCTCTCCGTGGAAGTCCAAAACGCACATTTTACCTCATACTCAATTTAGGGGCACGTGGCGGGTTTGGGCAACAGTCTGTGTGGGAAGGGGCCCAACTCAAATATCCACTAAAAAGCCAAAACGTAAAAGAACCAGTGCTTTCCTATTTTCTTCAGAAAACTGGAGACACACTGCCGTGTGGCCTGCAACTCCTTTAATTAACTTAATTACCATATTTTTCCATATATAAAACAACACTTTTTTCTTAAATAATTTGAGAAAATAATGAGGGTCGATTTATACACGGCTCCCCTTCCTTTTTGCTAAGCCCAGTGTGCCCTTGCCTTTTGAGAAGGCACAGAGTTCCCCTTCTTTTTTGCTAAGCTCCGTGCCTTCTCAAAAGGCAAGAAAAAGTAGCAGCTACTTTGACAGCCGCTTTCCTTGCCTTTTGCCAAGGCACGGGGCTTAGCAAAAAGGGAGCCCTTTGATCCCTGCTTTTTCTTATTTGGGCTAGAAAAGGGGGGGTTTCATCTTATACTTTGGATCATTTTATACACAGAAAAATACTGTATGTATCTCTAATTTATTATCAGCAGTCTCTTCCAGTGGGCATGCAATCCATTGTTTTTAAAAAAATATTATTTGCACTTGCGTTGCTGAGTCCTTCACCTCCTCACATGGCGTAATGTTTTGAAGCCGTTTCTCACAATTTTATCTGTTTTGGTTGCAAAAACCCCCACATTTTTATGGTCTTTTGATTGGTAAATGGTCCAGAAAGCATTTGCCAGCTGGGCCTTCTATCAGCATGTAAAATAAATAAATAGATAAGTGCACAAATTTATTTCCCAGGGAGTTTTCTCCATCAGTCCCTACTCCTCAAACAATGTATGCAACTAGTACGAAACAGTCATCACCACTGCTTACTTTCTGTTCTTTCACATCTTCATCTCCACTCTCCAGCTGCAACTCATCTCCCGAGGAGTCACTCTCTTCCGCCTGCATTTTCAAACTGTCTTCGGGGATTGCCAATAGATATTCTGGCATCGTGGTAGCTGTGTCTGGTTCATTCCCTTTCCCTTGCTGCTGTAGAGAAAGCAAATTATCCCTTAGCCAAAATTCAAGCTAATTCATCAACATCACTCGGTTATTACAAGCAAGACTTCCTATCTGTCCCCCAACAAACAAACAAACAAACAAACAAAGTTATTACAAGCAAGACTTCCTGTCTGTCCTCCACCACCACACACACACACACAACTTGCAGAATGGAATACCATATCCATGGAGGGATTGGTTCCAAACCCCCCACAGAAGCTGAAAACCACGGATAATAGTCTACACGATAAATTGCATGGTAAAAGAAAAAAAATCCAGAAAAATATTTTTTCACCATATATTACCAGAACTGACCATTAGAGGGAGACACAAACCATGCTATGTATTCCTCAACAGCAAAAACACATAGCATGGTTTCTGGCTCCCTCTAGAGGTCGGTTTTGGTAAATACATAATGAAAATACTGTACCTCTTTCTAATTTTTTTCCTTTAATATTTTTTAAATTTCCAAACTCTGGAAACTGCTTTCATGTGCATTCATCTGTTATCATGATTTCAGTTACTGACCACCATCTTTATGAATCCCCACCCAATGTGAGCCCTACCTGGTCTGCTTCATTGCTGGATCCAAGAGTCACATCATCCTGGGCTCCATGATTTGGTGGTGAAATCTGGAGATGGGGTGTTTCCTGGAGATCCAGGTAGACACGGAACTGCGCCTCCAAAGGCTTTGAAGAGGTCAGATGGGGCGCAGAAGTAGCAATGGGGCGCAACAGGTGATCTCTGGACTCCTCCAGCCTCAGAAGAGAGAGGGAAGCACTGGACGGTTGCTTTAGAAAAGGGTTCTCCAACCACAATAATTTTGGTTCAGACGAGGCAAGACATGGCAGGGGTTTCTTGATGCCAGTTGCCAGGGGCTGCGCCCTCTAGAAGAGACACAATAATTACCAATACAGGACTTGGAAGCAAGCAATAAGAAGCAAACGAGAAATGAAAAAGTGGCCAAAATCCTCTTGCGTAGTCACGACTGCAGAAGAGACATGGCAGCCTGTGCCGCAGGAATTCGCAGCTGATCAGCATGTCCTCTCCTCAGGACTGTTCACAGTTTAACAGTGGCAATATGGTACGGAATTCAAGACAGGACTCATTAATTAGCAGCAAATTGGTTGCTGTGAGTTACACCATTTCCCTTCTACTGGCATAACTACGCAAGAGGATTCTGGCCAGCGATGTTTCAATTGAAGCGAACTGTTTGTGCAGATACATGCAGCCTCAATGGAGATTTCACTCCACCTATGCCCTCACCATTATTATTTTGGTTTGATTCTGCTCTTCACCCCCTCCTGGCATCTTCTGGTCCTCCACAGCCTCGCCGTCTTCCGTTGATTCTTTCCAAATGCGGCCATCACACCCCGAGCCAGCGTGGTCTGCCTCAATCACATTCTTCTGCTGTGACACAAAGTTAAACAGAGCTGCATTTGAGACACATCCTGGTCCATTGATCTCAGAGAAAAGATTTCTTGATGTCTGGATGCCTATCTGATTGAACCCTGATGTAGATGTTTCATGACAGAGCTATGGCTTCTCAGCACCTTCAAGAACATTATAGTTCCAATGTTCCTTGAGGGGGCAAAGAGAAGATGCTATGGGAGTTAAAACATGCATGCATGGAAGAGACATTCTCTACTAAGAATACTTTTCATCCACGCCACAAACATGGTTTCGGCCTTACCTGTGCTTGTGTAAGGTCTGAGACAGGGTGTCTGCAATTCAAGGAGTTCAAAGAATAAGATGTCCTCTTGTTATCTGGCATGACACTGCTCTGGGTGTTGAGCGGTTTCAGTGCAGCTAGCCACGGGGCGGAAGGGGTAATGGGACGCAAGAGTCGGGCCCGGGACTCCTCCAGATTTTGGAAGGAAAGAGGAGAGCAGGTATAAAAAGGGGGCTTCTCCCCACAAAGATGGGCTGTGTGATCCATTGATCTCAGAGAAAAGATTTCTTGATGTCTAGATCCCTGCAGAGGGGGACGAAGTATAAAATATGAATAAGCAACCTCCGTGCATCATGTTGCACGAAATCCATTTTCAGAAATGTAATCTGTTTTAAGTGCTTCCATTTCTAGATCTCCTTGTAACCAAAGTTCCCTGACAAATCTATCATAAATACATCAAAGAGATCAAACTGAATAGAAGAATAAAATAATTTGCAATTAAAAAGTTCATCAATTACGGTAAATAGCCCATCTAATTAACATTCATGTTAATCTACCATTGATAATTTATGACACAGGTTCTCACAGTCTGTGCAGAACAAGCTTCTACAAAAGACCTGCATATCAAAGATGACATCATCACAATGTTTAACACCCACTGACTTTCTTGCCGACCCACCACAATCTCTGTATTTTGATGTCATGTATAAATATTTGCCATGTTATACTGTATCTCCTCCTCTTATGTCTGATGAAGTGGGCCTGTCCACAAAAGCACACTATAAAAAAATATAAAAGTTAGTCTTTAAGGTGCCACCATGCTGTCTTTTTTTAAACTTTTCATTTTTATTTTCAACTCTGATGCTTGCACAATCTAACACAGCTACTCCCTCTACAACTGCAACAGAATAGTGCATGCAAAGACCATTTAGCATTAACTCAAGACGCTTGCATTCTACCAAAACATCTCCTTCATATAACACAGCCATACAAAATACAGTGGTTTCCTCTGTCCAAAGGTCTACAGAAGGTCACCGATATTTGCATTTCTTCCTCAAATTTACAGCACTCTTAGCATGCCTTGAACATCTGAGTTCATCGTATGCAAAGACTCTTCTTTCCATTGGCACATTTCACGGTGGTGAGGGGTCCATAAAAGGAGCCCATCTTATCTCCTACGAGAAGCTGGAACAAGACACTTAATCTCAATCAACAACTTGCACCTCCAGCTTCAACCTGTTGCCTTTAAGAATAAGCTCAACAGGTGGGATCCAGATTGAGCTGTATTTTGCCTGGACCCAATGAAGAGGGATTTTATGACAGTTGTGACAAATATGAGCCCTGCTCTTTTCGGAGAACCTCCACAAAGTCTGACTCAGTTTGGGTTCAACTCAGTGTGCAAACTTTACCCTGAAATAATACTTATTACAGTGCCGCCTTGCTTAACGATTGCCCCGCATTATGATGAATCCGCTTTACGACAATATTTTTCTGATCGCAACTGCGATCGCAAAATGATGGTCTAAATGGGGGGATTTCGCTTAGCGATGATCGGTTCCCTGCTTCAGGAACCGATTCTTCGCAATACGATATTTTTCTAACAGCTGGTCAGCGGTTTCAAAATGGCCGCTGGGTAATTAAAATGGCTCCCCGCTGTGTTTAGGGACGGCTTCCTCGCTATACAGGCAGCGAAAATGGCCGCCATATGGAGGATCTTTGCTGGACAATGAGTTTTTACCCCATTGGAATGCATTGAATGGGTTTCAATGCGTTTCAATGGGTTTTTTAATTTCGCTTTACGATGTTTTCACTTAACGACGATTTTCCTGGAACAGATTATTGTCGTTAAGCGAGGCACCACTGTATTTCCAGCAGGAAGATCCTTTCAGCTGGTGCAATCCAGGAGGGGGGGGAGAAGCCAGGCTTAAAGGCAGAACAACAGGCCAAGGGACTTTGTATTTGCTTTTGGTTCTTTCCCATCAGCTGGCAACCTTTGGTCACGCCTCTCCCTGATGCAAAGTACTGTCCTGTTCACACCGGGTAAGGATTCTGTGCCAGGCGGAGAAGCTGGCAGAGACCCAGTCATTATGAAAGGGCAGGAACAGGTTTGCTACAAGGAAAGAGGGCCATATTTGTGGCATTTTGGCTATGGGAGAAAACTAGGATGACTAAGGAAGAAGGACTTTAATAAAGATACAAGGCCCTCCCTACCGTCAGGCAGAGCCACAAGATAAAACAGCTGTGTTGCAACAGAGCAAAGATCTGTCCAGAAATCAAAGCAACCTCGGATCGATTGATCTAGCTTGATTATATTAATTAGTAATAAATATACTGCTTGTTTCTCAGAGTTGCAGGTGCAAGGGGCAAGCCCTAAACATTACAAACCAAGTCCCAAAATTGTACTCTGTGTGTTTGTCTGTGAGACGTGTGCAAACTTACTGATCTTTTCATTTCAGGGAGCAAATCAGCAGCTATAGGCAGTTGTTTCAAATTGGCTACTCATTGGTAAAAATTACCAAAATCATTGGTAAGATGATTTTGGAAGGACTGAAGTTAATGAGGAGGGGGGCGGGAATGATCCGATCTTGCTTCCTCCTGGTTTTAATTTCTTGCCACCACGTTTAGTCCTGTATTTTGCAATTTCCTCTGCTTTCGAGGTTTCCTGTTCATGGGGCTCCCGTATTATCTTCCACGGTGCATTTTAATTTGCTAACCCGTTGCTAATTCTGAAAGTAGACCCAGGGGGGCCCCTTCGCTAAACTTTTAACTCAACACTGAGGTAAAGCCCGCTGAGTCAATGAGCCTACTCTAGCGGGAACGACCCAGCTTATTATTAACTGACGTTCTTAGGGCACCCACCTCGGCTGATGGTCACAGCGGGCACTCCCTCCAGCCACGAAGCGCTTCCTTCTCTCCGGGGAACGGGGGGGAGGAGTTTAGGGGGCGACGCCGGATCTAACCTTAAACGCCACTGCCCCTCCTTCTCGGGGTAGGGTGGGATGGGTGTGGGGGGGAGACAAGGCACAGCCTGGCTTTGGAAAGAACCCCCAGAACCTTTCGCCGTCCTCGGGGGGGGGGAGGCAGCCCCAAAGCCTTCCAGCGCCGGAGGGTCGGATCCAGACTTCCCGACAAGGAGGCCCTGGGAACCCGGGCAAGCCTTTCCTGGATGCGGAAGCCGGGAGAGGCTCCAGGGCGCCGCCTGGACTTGGCCCAAGAAGAGGAGTTCCCGCTACGCTCCTCCTCCGGGGCGAGGGACCCAGGCGTCCGGGCAACCAGCTTTTAACCCTTTGCTTCTGGTCCGCCTCGAAAACACACACACACACACACACACACACATACCCACAAACACACACACCACTCGATGGCCTAAGGAAGAGTCTGCTTTCACCCACCCCACCGCAAAGATGGACACACACCCACACCCACACCCACAAACACACACACACCACTCGATGGCCTAAGGGATGGCCTAAGGAAGAGTCTGCTTTCACCCACCCCACCGCAAATGTGGCCACCTGAAATGGGACATCTGCCACCCAGTTAGGTACCTAAAATGTCCATTTGTGCGGTGGGGCATTTATTTCCACCCCAGAGGAAGAAAAAAAAATCTTGATTATATTCCAGTGTCTTGTTAAACACAATGTGGGGAGCCCTAGCAAAAACCAGGTGTTATCATGAGTTGGAAGCATGTGGTCCTCCGGGTTTTTATTTATTTATT